TAACACAGGATATTGTCCAAAAAACAACACTTGTCCTTCAAGCTTTGTTTTATCATCGTCCCATTGATAAATTCATTAGGAAATACAAGATAGCATACAGTTTTGGGAATGTTTCAGTGTTTTTCTAACGGCTTTAAGTTGTGACATCTGCACAAGCGTAGATTTACCATGACGAAAAGCCCGGTGAAACATTAATGTCAGGCCCAAAGACCATCTGTATTAAGTTAATATATAAAACAAACCAAAGAAAACATGCTGGGAGGTCTGTTGTGTCACGAAGACCCCCCAGGAAAGACATGTTGGCAGACTACTTAACTATGAGTTCCTTATAAATATCTGATCTCTAGAAGATTTAGTTACAAATAAAATAAAAACAGTGTAAATTTGTGACTGCATGAATACTGGTAATTGCTTTGGGTGCCTTAAAAGTGCTAGCCATATAAATCAAATCTAGTATTATTATTATTATAAAAAAACATGTTTAAATGGGCTTTTGAGTACATTCGATGTGTTGTTTTAATTGGATGCTTAAAGTGACTATGTGTAGTTTTTACCATTAGTTTCTGGAAATATCCATCAAAATGTTGTCGAAAATGAATTAAGTGAAGCCCAGTTGTTGAAAACTATGGGCAGTTTTGTAACATATAACTATAAAAAGCAGGTCTAAAATACATAGGAGTGGGTTTAAGTCTCTGGGAGACACCATATTAGATGCCATGTTACCTTTTATGGGAGCCCATGAGGACAAAATGCATTTACTGATTTGTAACAAACGTTTACTAAACTTTTGCCATACTTAAATGTTGTTGTTTTACACTTTTAGCTCTTCACTAGTTGCCATTGATGAAAGGGAGTCTGATGTGCTTGTTTTTTAGCTTAAGTTTGCACTCCCTGTTTTTTTTTTTACCCTAATGGGCATCCGTTGGTAGGGTCTTACTCCAACACAAAAATACTGCTTGCTTGCAACAATTTAGGTATCTACTGACCCCATCACCAGGGAAAATACACACTGTTTCCACATCTTGTGAGTGCATGCTACTGTTGATAACATGTTTTGTTGCACCTTTCTGCTATTTCTCCAACTTTTTAAACTCTAATTTTATTTTTACATATCATTACATTAAAAGGGACATATTACAGAAAACTCACCTTTAGCATCATTTTGTGCTTCCATGTGGGTCTCTACTGTCTCTATAAACACTCCAAACATGTAAAAAATATCCACCCATTTTCTGTCAGAAACTATTTGCCTAAAACAAGTTGTTCAAAAAAATCCCTTATTGTGACATCACAAATGGGGAAAGTAGAAAAGATTCACTTCTCACGTCCAAGAGACAGCCGTTTCTGGAGGAGACGTGGCTCTACACTGGGCCCCTCCCGGGTATCGGAGTTTCTCAGCTTTTTACAACTTGTGCAGTGGGTGGGTGGGCGTGGCTAGTTCCAGCTTGTTTTCTTAAAGTGAAAGTACCCTGAAACTGTCAAGAATAAAACAGCTGAAATTTCGTTATGTGAGAGGGGTTTAGTGCAAAGAACTTCATGAACTTGTTTTGTAGAACTATTATAACTTAAGAAACAACGTCATAATATGGTTCCTCTATAAAATAGTATTTCAAAAGGGATGGGCACATGCCTTTTTATTGTCTCGTACTGTTTTTATATAATATTAAAGTATTGTTTCAATAAAACCCATTTAATATCTTTGAGATGGATCTGATTTTTATTTTAATCCCAACATTGGCATTCACACAACAGCAGCTTAAAGGAATAAGAGTGTAAAATATCTACCTTTACATTTTATCCTGTTTCTTTTGGTCAAGAAGATCACTCTAACCCAAGTTACTGATTACTGATCAGTTGAGGAGGGTAAAAATAATCACTAACTCAAATGAAAATTCTGGTCGGGTCATAATAAGACTTTAAAATGGGACCAATGCCTCCCTGCTTGACACGCAGCATTAAGGGGTTGGGTTGGAGGGTTGAACCACCAAATAGTTCCCGAGCACAGCCACTGCTGCAGCTCACCGCTCCCCATGGGGATGGGTAAAATGCGGAGATGTAATTTCAACTGTGTGTGATAACTAATAGGACTTGAAATCCTTATCTTAACTAATTATATTGAATTATTCAGATTAAAAGCAAAGTATTTTATATGTCTTATGTGCATTTGAGCTATGTTGTGGTTTAGTCAATAGCATGGTTGCTTAGCATCTTGTTCTGTATTCAAACTCCAGCAGGAAGTGATTTTACATGGAGTTTGCATGTTCTCCAAGTACTCCAATTTCCTCCCACAAGCACATCTGTTAAGTTACCAGTTGGCTCTGAATCATTTCAATCAGAAATGTAATTTATTTGTTTTAACAAAAAATATGTTAGTTGAAAATATTAAAAGTGTAGAACACTGAAAATAAACCATTATTTATGATTATAACCAATCACTCTGAGTTTTTCATGCAGGCTGAACATTACAGTCATCTCCTGCATCTGCTTCTGATAGAAAACAGTCTAGGACAGATCTACCTCATACTGTCACTTAACATTCATGAACTCACCCATCTTGGCTCACGACGGGGAAGGCTGTTGTTAGTTTAGCGTCCAGGAAACAGCAGACAACGTGTAAACCAGTAGAAGCTAACTGTTAGCATCAGCAACTCCACCACATGGCAGAACTCCTTCTGGCTTGTATTATTTGTGGAGATAAAACATCAACATTGCAAAGCTAATAGAGTCAGTGTAAGAGTCATGCTGCTGTTAGCCAATCAGAGGCAAGATAACAGCAGCAAATATCAGGAAATAAGAGTCTAAGTGTTGATCAAATCTTTTATTGACATTTCCGATCCGTTTGGAAGACAAACCTTTGCAATCGTTCGATACTCAGTCAATGGAAAGTGCTGCTCTTGGAACAAGGATGTCTGATTTTAATGTTATTGTTCTGTTCTACCATGAAACCACCGAAGGATGAATCAGTCATAATAGTGTTAGTCATAATAATGACAACTGTTGTAGCCTGGAGGCAGCTGTGGTTGACAGCTGGCCTACCACTGCTTTCACTACGATCATTCAAACTCAGCCGTATTAGTAAACAGGAAAAGGTGTTGGTTATATCTGTGGTTTTTATTTTCATAACATCTCTGTCTGCAGCATGATCTTGAATTTATTTTATTTTTTACCTTTGCTCTTGTTCTCCACTCCCCTTTTTTCTGTAACTTCAGATGGGTCCTGTGACAGTTAAGGCCGTAACTCCTAGTGTAATCAGCTCAACCCGGCTACTGGACTGTTACACACAAGATATGTAGGCTTAATACGAGACACGCTCTTCTTGTTGCTGTCAAGCAAGAAAAAAAAGTATGTGTCTGGAATTCGCCCTCTCATTGACGCGATGACCTGGGCTGGAGATCGTGTCACCAACCTTTGAGTTATAGCTGATCCAGACGGGGTTTTATTGCTGAAGGCTGAGGTTTATCTGCTACCAAGCTGTGAAGTCGTGTTTAGATTTGAATGTGTGAATGCCTTCACTCACCGTGTCGCTTTAACAAGAAATGTCATTGTTGTCGTTTTTGACAACTTTTCCATGAATGCTTTTAATTAAAAGGCAACAGTGAGGGTGGAGGTGGACTGGAATACCATCTTTGTTCTGGTTTTGCCGGATCCACAATAGATCTCCATGGTTCCTGCAGGAAGTCAGCAGCCCCCGCGCCCCCCAATGAATTTTCAAAGGCTTGATAGGTCTTTGCTGATAAGCCCTCCTTCAGGCCTGACTCCAGGGCCTTATACTTTGTATCAATACAAGATAACCTTGTTCTTTGTTATTTTTTCTTCTTCTCTTTTATCTTATTTGATTAAATCTCTATCTTCTCACCCAGGACCACTATTATTTACATGATATCAGCAAGAGCTGTTTGCCCCTCCGAGCCCCGACACCCAGGAACTCAAACCCCTCCTTCATGGTTATTCATGAAGATGTTTTATATAGCGCCTCCTCAAGATAAAAATCACAAGGCATTTCAGAAGAACAAAATAAAAATAACAATAATATTTAAAAAATATTAAATACGGAGAAGTAAAAATTGTGATTAAAATGGGAGAAAAGGGAAAGAGAAAAAGAATAAGAATGAGGTAATCAGTGGATCATAAAGGATCATGAATAAATACTGAGTAGCTGAGGAGATTTAAAATCCTTCTGCGTAAAGTAAAAGTCACGAGAACGGAGCTGGTGGACGTCACAGTGTAAAAAGTTGGAACCCACTGGTCAGACCAAACCACCTGGTTGTAAAAACAAAAGCTCTGGATATCCCTGGGTAGGTTTATCTTATTTATAACAATTAACAGTTAAAAATGAGCTAAACTGGGGAAAAAATGCAAATAAATGAATGGAAATGATATCAAAAGGGTCAGAATTCTTATTCTAACAAAGGCCTTGAAATGTTGCATGATGAGATTACACAAATGGCTGACTCACTACTTCTGAACTACTTCTTCCTCACTGGGGTCATGAGGGGCTGGTGCCCAGCTCCAGCACTCACCAGGCCAGATGTGAGGGACACTCTGGACACTGGCCTGTGGAGGAGGAAACTGGATCATCTGCAGAAAAACATGCAGAACGGCTGCAGCTGGAACCTGCAACCTACTCACTGCAAGGCAAAGTGCCCCCACTCAGCCCATGACACAAGCATTTTAACAAACATTTCTCTGATTTTTCACATTAATGAAAAAGCAATGGGTGACATTCAATTCAATTCAATTCAATTCAATTCAAAAATACTTTATTAATCCCAGAGGGAAATTGAGTAGACACATGTGCATCTTTAGGCCTCTGGGTGAAATGGTTTCCCACCTTTGTACTGGGATCCCTCCTTGGCTGCCCTGGCTCTGATCATCCACCTCCCTGCTGTGATCATCGGCCTTTTCTGGTTGAAGCCATCCTTTCCTAGCGAGGCTCTGATTGGCTGGTCCTTCTTCCCATCAGCCGACAGGGGGCGACAGGAGGCGGCTCCACAGACGTGAAGCGCTCCAGCCTAGCTCCCTTGTGGGACAGAGCTGCGCACTGTGCAGATCAGGAGCTCCGCACCGCGGCTGCCGCACCCTTCCCTCAGCGGAACGCTGCGCGCAGGTAACGATCTGCTCAAATTACCGGAAGCGAGATTCCGTTCAGGTGACGGAGGCCGAAACCCACCGCGCTAAAGTTTCAGGGACGTGAAAACTCCCCCCGGGGCAGAGCTTTGATGTGATCCATCCACCTCCTCCACCTTGGGACAAACGCTCGTTTCTTTAAAGTGTTTTATTTTTATTTCTTTCGTCTTTCAAAACTCGATGTTTGTGGAGCGCAAGTGACCCGAGGAGGACTCGACCAAGGACGAGTAAGTAGATCTGTTTTTTCTCTTTGTGAAACAATCAGGTGGAAAACCCGGAATTAAGAAACTTTTCTTTTTAAACTGCAGTTTCATCCCTAAATCCGTCCATGCCCCTTCTGTGTAATGCCCTCATGCTTCCAGACAACTTTACTCTAGTTTCAGCAGAAGAATGTGTTATCTCCTGCAGATAAGACTTTTGTATCGTCCCTTTCCCGGATGCCCCTGTTGCACATTCTCCAATAAAACAACTCACTTTAATAGGATTTTCTTTAGTGGTTCTGTTTTGTAGCAAACAGGTTTAACAGGTTAAATCCACCTTATGATAATGCAATCAGAACAATCCTGCAATAAATTGAAGGATCAATGTTCAGGCGTTGTTGACACACTGCACCTTTTTTACCATCTGTAAATACTACTGCACTGATCATTTTTTGCATGCACACCTGAAAACAAATGTTAGTTATAGTAGAAAAACCAGTGCATTGCTAGTAATATAGATTTTTTTTCAAAATAACAAGCTTGACTGAAACTCACTTGTTGGAAATGAATGAGGAAACTCAGCAAATTATCTAACTTGAGCCAAACTGTGTTTGTTTTTCATAGTTTTGCTCACCCTAAGGGTGTAGGGAATGGATTTATATTCTGAGAACAAGATGCAAATTTCTGTCATTACCATCACACGGTCACCTTGGTCTTTAGTTTTTATTTATTATCAACATGGAACATTTCTAAAACATCTCAGGAAATGTGAAACTCCCCACACTTTCATTTTAAACGGCTTCCTCACCCCCAAAAAGATGAATGAAAAACTCAACTATACCTATTTCTGTTAAATACCTTTAAACATCTTCCCTTATGGCCTGTTGTCAGTCACACATTCTTGCTTTTGGTTTCGATGACCACAGAAGATGATGGAGGGATGAAATTTGTTTGACTGAACGAAAGAAAAGGGCATTTATACAAATCAGAATGTTCCACCATGTGCATGTCACAGGAAAAGCACACCTACATATGACTCCTGTGGTTTGATCAAAGAACTAATCATAATGGGTTGGAAATGTGTTTTCCCCCACCGTCGTGTTAATTGTAACCTGTGTGCTTTTCTTGCCGTTAAACCGCCAAGACTTTTTTTCAGAGGCGAAAGGAGGGAGAAGAGACCTGGGTGTGGCTTTTCTTGTAATGACTGGTTTGCATTCAAACCAGTGTTTACAGATTCAGCTGGGTTTTTTCACATACAAATAACAGACAAGTTACACGTGAAAACACACAATCCTGCTAACATTGTCCAACTAGAGCTGCAAAAAGTCCATAGGGACCTACACACTTGCAGCTTTTGCACATAAAACAAAAAAATTCAACTTTTATGGAAAACAAATCACAAGAAAATACTATGCTGCTGTTTTATTCTGACATAAGTTATCATTTTATATTTATAGATAAAAAATGGGAATGCTTAAATTGCTACATTAGTGCTAGGAATGGGGGAGGGGAGGCAGACGAGGTGTTCTTGGTTAGGAAGGAGGTGGGGAGAAGGGATATTTCCTTTGCAACTACCCTTTGTCCTTTTCCCCCCACAAAGCTCCTTAGGCATGAATGATAACGGGCTAATTAGTGAGTTTAATAGGGTTTGTTAGGTGAGTGTGAGGCTGGCATCAAGCTGTGCTGAAATTTGAGTTGGTTGTTTACATACCACGTCAGGGGGTCCCATTTGCTAGGAGGGTTTTGTTCTTGTCACATGTTCTTTCTGAGGGTTAAAAGTCCATCTCTAAATAAATCCATTTAGGGGGATTCTGCGCAACTTGTGCATTACACGCAACTCTGAGACAAATGTTTACAGATGTTCCAGATGGCTGACTGTTGGCTTTGTGTTTAAGGAAATGCAGCCATTTTTGTCGTTTAATTCTTTGGAGGAAGAACGAGGATATTTCTCATCAAGACAGCTTTAGGTTTGCATTATTTTCCTTGGTTTAGATGGGGCATGTGGGGAAATTATTGAGATCATGAAACAAGCTAGCCTGGTAAACCATAACCTGGCCAAAACCCATTGAAACCATCCAGTCGTACTGCACAATCTATGGTTGTCTTCCAAACTGTCACTGTACACAATTGGACAGCACAAGGACCAATCAGAGCAATGAATAATGTCACGTGTTCATTGCTGCAGAAATCAGTCAACGGGGCAGTCTGCCGTACACCATCAGAGAACAAGCAAATGCATCCATCTGCTCATGTCTCAAAGAGAAGCCCAAGTCTACGTCGTCCAAAGTTGATTCCAAATCTGTTTCTAAAGAGTGCCATTTCTGTATACTGCCATCTTTGTAGTTCGTCTCCATCAAAGTTCTAGTGCTAAGTCTGCTCAAAATCAGTAGCAACAGTAGCAAAAATGTTTTGCTACTGTTGCTACTGTTGGTCAAGATTTCTAGGCTACTCCTAAAGAGCTTGAGGGATTGAAGTCAGATCCCCCGCTGCTACGCCTCCAAGATATCAAGCATTGGTAACCTGAAGCATGGTTAATGCTTGACGCATTTACTTTCCGCTTGCTGATGCGGCTCGCGGATGGAACGCGCTTCACAACTCGCAGCGTTTATGGTTCATGCGGCTTGTCTCTGCGGTGAGCCAATATTCTCCCAAACTGAACGGGGCAGCATGGAGCTCTACGGCATGCATCCAACACTACACCATAGTAGAAGTAAAAATTACTGTTGTTTAATAGCGTCCTCGTCTTTTCCTACAGTGCAAGCTATTTCTCTCCAAGAATTATTAACAACATGTTGATCACGGTGATCTCTGAGAGCTGAATCATACAAATGTCTGTATTTACGAACCTCTGCCATACTAGTTCTTGCCAGTCTGCCATGTTTTTCCGCGTCCGACCGTCCGCGTGGTTAGAAAATTTCCTAGGTGCGCCATGTGGAAGGTTTGGGCTGTGCGGAGGCGCGGTGGGGGGTGGGGGTGGGGGGTGGGGGTTGTTAAAATGACACAGTTTTGCCACGCGGAGCCGTGCGAACCTCACGGACGCGTCAAGCATAAGCCAAGCTTAAGTGGGAACTTGAAACTGAAACAAAACAAATGCTTCCTAGAGGCTACCTGCAGCACAAGGTTTGAAAATAAACACAGGTTGTAACAAACCAATAGCTTCAGAAATACACACATATAGAGTGCACAGCATTAATGAGTACACCATTTTAAAAGTACAAATTGCAGCTCAATGAACAAAAAAACTTATTTCCAGATTTTTCACAAGGCAGCTCCCCAACACCAGCAGCACTCATGCAGCCCCACATTAGGACACTGCCACCACCATGTTTCACTGTTGGCGCCATGCATTTCTCTTTGAAATCCTCACCTTTACGACGCCATACAGTATTGAAACCATTAGTTCCAAAAACGGTGATCTTAGTCTCATCACTGCAGAGTCTAGAGTCCCAGTAGTCTTCATCTCTTTCAGCATGGGCCCTAGCAAATCCTAAGTGTGCTTTTTTGTGCATGGGCTTTAGGAGAGGCTTCCTTCATGGACGATACCCATGCATGCCATTCCTCTGCAGTGTGCACCGTATGGTGTCACGGGAAACGGTCACTCCAGTTTGGCTTTCTACTGCTTTAGCTAACTGCAGTGAAATTGCATGATGTTTTTCTTCAACCGTTCACATCAGAAGATGCTACTGTCGAGATGCTAACTTGGACTTCTGTACTTTTGCTACAGTATTTTGACTAAAAGCTTTGCTGATCTTCTTGTAGCCCTCACCTTTTTTGTGTAAACAAATGATTTCCTTTCTCCGATTTTGTGACATCTCTCTTCCATTTGGAGCCATTGCTCAAATGAAATGGGAAGGGCTTTTCTTTGTTAAGTAATGCCTTTTTATAGTCACCTGTCTCCTGGACACCTCTTAAACAAGTCAGACTCACTTGTGGCTGAATACCTGTTAATTTGAATTTTGTAGTCTTAATTGGTCTTTTGTCTGGTCTTCCCTGGCATGTTGATTTTAATGTTCTTGCTATTCTTACTAATGGAAAGCACGTTGAACTGCCTCTGTATGAAATGTGCTACATAAATAAGTCTGCCTTGCCTTGCTTTTCACGTAAGACTAGAATTGGGGTGTATTCATTTTTGCAACATGGGGCTTGAATTAATTTGTTAGGAAAACCACTTTTGTGTGCAAATTAGCAAATGTTGTCTGCAACCAATGGCCCGCATTTGTGGGATTGTTCTGTAGTTTGGTATTTTTTTAATCATAACTGCCAACTATTTATACTGGAAAATTATGAAGCTTAACTAGGCTGCCCAAACTTCCGCACCCCATTGAATTTTGGTCATGTTTAACATGCTTGGGGTTTTAGCATGAGCAAAACACAACACAAGATGGTTTCTATTTGTGTTAGTTGGTTGAAAGTTTGGTTAAAGGCTTGATAATTATATCAACATTTTTAAATGGTTGCTGGTTGATGCTCTCATTAATTTGCAATGTTGGCATTTTATTTATTTTTTTGTTTTTGTTTTATGCATTTTAGATCATGTTCCTCAAAACTGTCAGTATGAGATGTGGCCAGCTTGAGTGGGGAGTTACGAACATCATGAAGCGTGTCTCCCAAAACATCCCCTCCCAATAGGGGATGTTCCTCATGCATTTACAATTTGCATCAATTAGCAAGTGAGCTGCCTTTGTGGTGAAAGGAAGCTGTAAATTTAAAGTGGCTGCTAGTGTACTGTACTGCCTGAGTTTCATATTCAGACCTCTTCCTCATTCTCATGAACTCAGTCTTGAACTTTTTCTCTTTACCACCGCAAGTTCCGTTGCCTGTTTGCTCCAAAAATGACACCGCACATTGAGTCACTGATGGAAACACATTACTATAGCATGTTAATCCAGCAGAATATGGAGGTCTGTTACACTGCTACAAAATGCACCACCCTCATCTGTGTTTGGTTTGAAGACATAGCCCATCCTCCTCGTCAAACTGTATTTAAACAATGGCATTCTTTTCTTAGTGCTGTATTGGGAATGCAG